CACTCCTCTCTCTCACCCACTCTCCTGGCAGTTTTCCCTGTGCTCTTTTTGGGCTGGGTTAACCAGGGCCTGCTTGATCTCGGCTGTGGGGCCTTGCTGAGCATCCTGTCATGAGGAAAACATCCATCCCCGGCTGGGCACTGGGCTCAGCCCGCCCGGGCGAGGCAGCGGGTAATTACCATGCCGAGTGCTGCCGGCTGTGCCAGCGACGTCCGGAACGTGCAAAGCCGGCAGTGATGGGGCAGATGGAGCTTGAGGGGAGGCAGGGCCAGCTGTAAAAGCCACCTTCTTCCTGCCCCTTGGCGTGCGGGTGCCTCAGAGGCAGCCAGGAGCAGGGGCAGAGTGGGCTCGTGCCAAAACCTGGCTGGGTCCCGAGGGAGGGGCAGCCTGCCCCCAGCACTGCTTCGCAGCGTGATCCCGGCTCTAGGTGGCCCTGAAAGCGAGCAGCAACACCACATCTCTGTCAGAACAGGGCAGGAATTGGGATGCCCACGTATGGAGACAATTACCCAATATTGGGCATCCCCACTGGGCCACCTTGGCTTTGTTGCTTGGATTAAATGGGCCATTAGGAGTCCCAGGTGCCACCCTCGGCTCTGCAACTGCAGGAGAGTCGCTTCATCTTTCCGTGCCTCGGTTTGCCCATCCGTGGAAGGGGGTGAGCAGCGATTACTCACCCCCTGGAACATTTTCTGATCTCCGCCTGAAGGGCCGCTCACACTGGCATAGGGCAACCTGTCCCTGGCCGGATCGGGCTGACTCAGTCAACACAGCTTGTCATCTGTGCTTGTAAAATGGCCTTTGCATGCTTTGGGATTTCACTTCCCCACGTGTTGTCCCTTTACGGCATCCAGGTCTTGGCAGCATCCTCCCGCAGCTCCTGCCCAGTTTGTCCCCAGGACTGGGGGTCTGCCCCCTCCCAGGGGAGGCACTGCCAAGGCACTGCTCAGCTGAGGCGCTCGAGCGGGACGGATGTCACCAGGAGGGAATGGGGGCTTTCACAAGCTCGTGAGGGTTTTGTCCCAGGTGAGTGCGAGGACAATGTCGCTGTTGTGTGCTTGCTGAGCTAATCTGCCACCGACAATCAGCGCTCCACAACTAGGTGAAGGAGCCAGTTCCCTGCCCCGAACAACAGGCTGTGAGCAGCAGAGAGGGGGCGGGCTGCCAAGCTCAGCTGGGAGAGATGATCACCTATTTAGGCAGCTACTTCCAGCTTATTTAAGCTAGGCTGCCTTTCTTCCTTCTTGATGCTCCATGTTTTGGGTAGCTGCTGTGCCTTTCTGCTCTTCTGAGACATGGCTGGGCCCTGGGTCCAGTTGCAACACCCGAGGTGTTGCCTGGCTTCTTCCGCTCTCCCTCCCACTCCGAAACTGCGTGTGACTGACTGCTGGCTGGTTTCCCTCCCCATCACGCGTGGATCCGGAGTCTTGAACCCAGCCCGGACCGCCTTTCCCCTGGTGACTGCCTTCTGCTGGCATGGATTTGGTGGCCGTCCCTCCACGGCAGGGAGTGGAGCTGGAGATTAGTGCACATGGCAGCTCACGGTGCAGAGGGGATGGGCTTCTCTGGTGCTGCTGGCTGTGGCTTAGGTGCCTTTCCCAGCTCTGCTCAGAGCAGAGCAAAGAAGGACCGAGGTGGTGTTTACGCTCACGACAAGTTCAGCAAAGGGCTCGTGCTGCAGACCGGCATTGTCCGCTTGTCCCCCAGGCAGCCTGAGCTGGGCCGGGTGCGAGAGGATCAGAGCTGGCCAGGAGTCCCCCCGTGTCCCCCCAGAATTCCTCCTCCCCTTGTTGTCTGAAAGCCGGCACTGCCATGGAAAGGAGCTGGTTGTGCTTCCCCTCCCCGCACCTGACTTTCAGGCGCCAGCCCACAGCAGGGCTTAATGCTTTTGCGGCTGAGTGGAACATTTGCAGAGAGGACGTCAGAAAAAGGGCTCAAACCGCAGCCACGCGTGTGAGAGAGGCATGGCTCCGGGTTTGACTTTTACTCAAAGTCAGCAAAGGATGAGTAAAGGTTTTGTGGGCAGAAGTCGCAGCTCGCTCACTGGGGTAATGCACGCTGCTTAACAGAATTATTTTTGTAAAGCTGCTGCTGTTGTTTGTTCTCCGCTTCAGTGGCAGTACAACAGCAGCCAGTTGTGCTGGTTACCAGGAGCGGGTGGTAAAAGTTTTGTTTGCTTCTGTGATAGACCTAACAAAAACCCCAACAAAACAACAAATCAAAACCAAAAACTTGGACTTTAGACTTTTAAGGAAATAAGTAGCTAATAGTTCTCCTGAGTGTAAGAAAGGGCATGTGTTTCCTGTTAAGGAATAATAAGAGCAATTTAACCTATAGTGAACCGAAGTGTTAATTTGAAACGTTTATACACTGGAGGTAGAAATGCTTTAGCATCCAGCATCATTGGTGAAGCTGGGCTGTGTTTTCTGGTACAATGGAGAGGTTTGTCCTTAACAGCGTTGTGATTCTGCTGATCTGATAACTGAAGGGTTACGCTTGCCTCAGGAGGAGACACATGAAATATCAGACATGTGGAGATAGCATACAAATGCCAATGTAAATGATACTGTCCAGGTATTTGCAAAAACCTCATTTACACAGAGAAGAAAAATTCTTTTCCTAGGAAGGGTTCCTGGTATCTGCTCATTGCTTTGTTTCTGCAAAGCAGCGGCGCAGGACCCGCTGCAGCTCTGGCTCTCTTGCTGATCATGTGTGCTTTCTAACAACGGGCACTAAGGATACCCAGGGATGCTTCACGGTGTGGGCATGCAATACTTGCTGCAAGAACTTGAATCCTCTTGGTGTGACTGCTCACAGTCCTTAGGGGAGGACACTGCTGGGGCACTCTCCAGCCCTCCCGGCTGCTGTGCCAGCCCAGCAGAGCATGCCGAGGGGCTCTCCTGGGCTCCCCAGCATCTTTGGGAGAGATCACGAGGAGGCAAGCCTGCAGCATGGCTATCCTGGGCTTGCCCACACGGCTGCTGTGAAATTCAGCCATAGGGAAAACTGGCCTTTGGCTGCAGGCTGAGCAAATTCAGGCTTGTTATTGCTGCCTGGGTGATGCTGTGAAACAGAAACTGCCTCTGTTCCTCCCTGTGCGTGCAGGAGGCAGGGGAGCTGCTCGCTCAGTCCGGCGCTGAGAGCCTGTGCCGGGCGGTAGCCCTGCGCACCATGCTGCTGGCCAGGGCAAGTGGCCAAGCAGCTTCCCTGGGAGCCTGGGGCGCCGTGCCTGCTGGCTCTGAGGCTGATGTGCCTGGGCTGCGAGCAGTTACCAAGGCACAGTTCAAGAGATAGTGCATCCCCGATGTTCAGCTGGGGGCTTGAGGCAGACCCTGCGCAGGGAACGCGTGTGGCCATGCCGGGGTGCGTGACTCACGGGATAATGCCCAGGAAGTTACACCACCGCATTGCAAGAAAGGGCACAGCCGTATTTATAAAGCGTGAGCCTCAGCAGGCTCCTGATGTGCTCGTTAGAGCTCTTGATTCCCGGCAGGAAACACAAGGGTAGAGAAAATCCAGCTGGAAGGTGGCAACTTGGCGGCTCCTGCTCTGCCCAAGGCCCCGTCCTCTCTGCTGGTTCCAGAGCCGTGCACCGACCCTGGTGCTGCTTGCTGGCTTGGCAGGGAGAGGGATGTTCTATGGTTACCGGGAAATACGATCTCTTGCAGCTGCAGGGCCAAAAATCTGAGACAGGCTTCCAGAGGGATGTGTTTGAGCCCACCTCCGGGTCAGTAAGCTGTCCTCTGGGCGGTGGGCTGGGGTGTCTGTGCCAGGCTGGCTGCATTCTTCTGCCAAAGGACGGCGGCTCCGCTTCCCCCTTGGGTGCCCCTTCTGTGGGACCCAGCGACGTTGTCTGTAGGGACAGGCGTAGCCTGGCTTCCCTTGACCAGCCCTGTGTAAACGTGGTCGGTTGTGACTGTGCGGCATCGGGAGCGGTGCCAGGAGCCAGTGGGCAGTGTGGTGAGGACCTGCTGAGAACGAAGCTCGGGCCGGACTGTCGCTGCCGTGTGCTGGCTGGCGATGCCCTTGCAGTTCCTGTAAGGCACGCAGCCATTTCTTATTGCCAAAGATATCTCAGTTTTCAGAAATGGCAGAGGAAACAGCATTTATTGTGGGCTTTGTACCCAGGTCCTCTCTGAAGGAAAATGAGAGGCTCTCACTTCTGTAGCTGATTTAAGTTGATGGAGTGCTTGA